TCTTTCGGTGTTAAACCTTCCACGGCAAGGACTTCTACTCGTCCAATTGGGCACTATTGTGTTTGCAGCCCGCTGTTATTTGCCTCAGAAATACTTTGCGATTCGCCAGCGTACAATAAACAGAGGATGAATAAAAAGTCGCTGGCCATGTTGCCTGGAAACCCAAAATGCACGATGACGTGCATTTGGCGTCTTTATCATTTGTTTATGGCTTGTTACTAGAACACCGCAGCAAAACGCATTGCGCATGAGCACAAAATTTAACATCCGGTCAGCTTTTTATTTCCGGTCTAGTATATAAACCAATTGCGTAAGCATGACATTGCCGTCGCGCCAAGTTTAAAAGCAAAAAGGGCGAATCAGACAAAAAAGGGGGCCAAAAAAATCACTTCATTTGAAAGCTTATAGCGGAGCTCTGGCGCGCGAAGCGCGCCTGCGGAGCACCATGGGTAAGTAAATCTACCCATCCCAGAAAATTTGGTAATCACGTGACCGTACACCGCCCTCAGCCCGCCCGCCCGTCCGTCCGCACCACGGGCATACCAATGTTTACTCTCACACTTTCTAGCCAGGTGCTTTCTAGCTACTTTGGGAGCCCAGGAGAAAGCTGATTGCACATCAATGTTGTCATCAATTGACAGCTGTCAAAACAGGGTATCCGCTGACCAGAAAATTCTTTATCACGTTGAAGCGTAACTCTTTTAAAATTTCTTCGCAAATTTGGCGCTTGTCAAAAGTTAGAACCGGCTGGCCGTATAGGTGACTTTGGACATGTTTTGAACGGTTTCGCTAATTAAAAGTCCACGTGTGCTTCGATGGTCCTGAGTATTGAATGAATGCAATTTGTCTTGAAACATTGTGAAATACTGCATTTTGTACGAGGTCGGTATGATAAAAACAGCGCCTCATAGTACTCTTTCTCCTCAGATGAAGTGTATAAAAAAATACATAAATAAAAGAATGGTTTGCACGCACCCAGATTTATTGGCAAGAATTTGTAAACTTGTCGAACGCAAAAAACTGGGCCTGATTTGTTTTCCAAGAATTTGTTTTCCACGCCTTTAATATCTACTGTGATCAAGAGCCATTATTGCTCTTAAATGTGACCGAAGACTATTTTTTGGGTGTACATATAAGGCTATATCAACGCGATACAAGATTTGTTTCACTTCAAAATCACTTAGCTTTTCCCTCAAAAGTCACATGAATGTGCCCTTAAGTTAACTGATTTGTGGAACTCAAAATTATTGTTTGATTTAAGTTATAAATTTATCAATAGGAGCTTCGCTTTTAGCTGTGGCTAAATCTATATATTATATTTTTCTAGTGTCAAACTTTTGCACCACATGGTTATCTGTTTGCACCAACGGTGAAAATGATGTTTGAAGTTTGCAGGTCGCGAGCGCTCAACAAGACGAATTTGTTTTCACTGGCTTTCTTGCGCGCTACTGGTTTGGCATAAGTTAATTTGGGAGAAGGTGATAACTAAGAAAAGAATGGCAATACTTATGAAAGAAACCAAATAAAGACGTCATCATTATCATTAACACTAGAATCAGGAAATAAAATTTTAGCCTGTGCAACATTTTTTTATTATCAGAGAAAACAAGAACTCAAAACAAAAGATGTGCGGGATTTAATAACAACCTCGACTTTGATGACTGCAGTCACGAACACCCGGAGCTTTCAGTGCCGGGAAACTAAACATGCCTATAAATGACTTTCATTCAAGAAAATGCATATTTAATTCTTTTACATGGTTGTTCTTTGGTCGGTGAAGACTTCAATAATTTCAGACTGTGCGGCTCGTCGGCATCTCACGCAAACACGAAACTTCCAGCTGCTATGGCATGAAAATTTCGACTTCTCAAAGCCATCGAACCAGCCTTCGCTCTCCGATTCTGAGAATGAAAAAAATAAATAGAGTTGTCAACTTGCTGCCAACTTCAGCAGTATAATTAAGTTTATGTTTCATGGCAATCAACTCGGAAGAGTTTCGTTTCAAAATACGAAAATAAAAAATAAGTGAATAAAGCTCGAATCGGCTTTAAGGCATGAAGACTAAGAAACTGAAGAACTGAAAATTAGAAATGCAATACACAAGCTTGCAATGATAACTTTTTATGTCTTAGTTTTAGCCAGGTTAAGTGAAAAATAACAGTCAAAAACTTTGTTTTCGTGAATGAAAATCAGTTTACCTGACGCTCTAGCCAAAATTACACACTGAGTTATTATCAACTTACAGTTTTCTGAATCTAATCGACTAATTGTTTCAGTGATCTGTGCCTGGTTATCAATAAAAGCAATTTCAATAACTACGAAATATTCAAAACACGAGCAGCATGAAGCAGAACAACTGAACCGCAAGCTGCACAAAGAATGAAGCCGAAAGCGCGCGGGAGACTTTGATCTGACTGGAAAGTGTGACTGAAAAAGAGACAGGAAATGCTCAACCGGCGCATGCGTACACGTTTTGCCGCGGTGTTGTTACTAGGCAACTGCGGATACCTAACCGATAGAAAGATCTATACACCGTATTCACAAATGGCGGACACGCGGGAAAAAACTGGTGCCTAGTCATGAAAGCGAGGCGTTGGAGGATAAACAAAAACTGCAAATGAAGACTTTCAGTGAACTTGCAGAGTGTTGAGCACGGATTCCACTTAAAATAACTTTGTACGGACTTCTTTTTAAATACAATTACGTGGGATGTCTTCTGCTTTTAACGTTTAGTAGTGATTTGCTGTTTGCAGTCAAAAGGGACGCGTATATCTTCAAGGAAACAGGATGATTTTGTAGGTTTGCGAAGCATCAGAAGCTCGACAAGTGGACAATGGCTGGAGAAAAGCGGCAAACATGTTGGCCCAAACTTCTCATTGAAACCGAGTACGAAAGCCAGCTCACTGCAATTCGGTGAAACAGAAATATAAACAAATATTGGTGGCAAGAAAAAAAGAAATAAGCGACAGATATATGGCCTACTTATTAACGGAAGAGACGTCTGCCGTTGAACAAAACAGTTCAAGTCGAGATGGAACTGAAGAGGTGACTGAGGTTTCGATGAAGTTTTGTTTGGTTTTTGTTTTCCAGGACGTCATTCTCTGGTCTTTATCGATGAAGGACATCAATTAGAACTAATTTTTTAGTATAAATGCTGGAGCGATCGAGTGGAGGACGCTCAAACTTTCAACTACTTACTCGGCAGACTCGGTAAGCCGGCCACATATCATTTCAGCGAGTAATTTCGTATTTCTTATCTTTGGCTGTTAAGAGTTTTAACTTTATGTTCCATAATATTTTAAAGTTGAAGAATACATAAATAAATAAATAAATAAAATGATGGTCTTCTTAAACGGATCCAGACTCGAATTTAATTATTCGAAACAGAAGCTTGCCGTGTTCACGGTCCTGACACAAACACTGCCTTAAAAGTTCTTTACCTAGTAAGATGTAAGCTTTATACCACTTTTTTACCAAGAGCTCTCTGCGATAATGCCCTAGAGGAGACTAGGCAAATAGTAAGCCATAGGATTCACACACTACAGCTTCTAATTTGTGATAAAATTATTTTTAATTATTTCGCAATGACAAAGAAATTATGAGATTTTTGCTAAGCTCTGCCAACGTACCTCTAATAATTTCACTCCAAAGCGACGGAATTAATATGATCCAAAGGAAGTTGTAAATACAGACGTACATAGATACATAGATACTGACATGAATGAATGAGTCTCGTGAATAAAATCTTTCACCCGCTCTCGACTTGACCTGTTTTGTGTAATGGCGGAGGTCCATTCCGTTGACAAGTAGGCCATATATCCGTCGCTTATTTCTCTTTTTTCTCGCCACCAATGTCTGTTTTTATTTCTGTTTAACAGATCTGGCTTTCGTTTTCCGTTTCAGTGTGAAGTTTGGGCCAACATGTTTTCCGCTTTTCTCCAAGCATCAGAAGCTCGACAAGTGGGCGATGGCTCGATAACCTACACAATCATCCTGTTTCCTTGTCCGTACAAAGTTATTTTAAGTGAAATCCGTGCTAAACACTGTGCAAGTTCACTGAAAGTCTTCATTTGTAATTTTTGTTTATCCTCCAACGCCTCGCTTTCATGACTAGGCACCAGTTTTTTCCCGCGTGTCCGCGATTTGTGAATACGGTGTATGACCAAAGCGAAATCGCAGTCCGCCCGGGATCCTCGCGTAATGCGCGCTGCGCGCGTGACAAAATTATACACTCGCTCTGCGAGAATTATTATTTAACCTACTATTTCCCTACTTCATCGTATGTAGCAGAGATCACTCATCCTTTCGCAATGGCAGATCGAGGTAGCTAAAGAATGCCTACAGATATATTGGTCTTTCCTTTTCTTGCTATTGCTTAACCTCGGTCTGTATATCTACCAGTGTGTGAAAGCCAGTAACCAATCCTCAATTACTGGTATGTAGACAATTATCGCCACAGTGGGCCCGGGGCAGGTGCTGGGGGATCTTAGAGGACGTGAAAATTACCCACTTTGAGCCTGTTTATGTACAGTAGATAAAACTTTTGGAAACAATAAATTACAAAAAAAATATCAAAATATTCAATGATTTTCTAACTTTTTAAAAGTTAAATCATTATTTTTTTATATATATCAGACTGTCAGAATTACGTGAGCCTTAACAGTTCTACCAGAAAGATTACGTACTCTGGTAACAACTGGTATTGTGACAGCGAAATCGGACCTGGTTGGTTTCGTTTTGAGGGGTCCGCCGGCACAAGAATGGCAACTTCATGTCCACCTAAAGGCAGATGTGGCGCATGGGTACCCGGCTGGTTGAATGGTGGACACCCCACAGTAGCAGACGGTCGGGTCAGCAGGCAGGTGTGTTTTCGCGCGTTTAGTAACTGCTGTCGATGGTCAACAAACATCGAAGTGAGAAATTGTGGTTCATATTATGTGTACTATCTTAGTGGTACATATAGTGGTTATTGCTATCACCGTTATTGTGGCACTGACTAAAAACAAAGTGCAAGTAAAGTACTACATAATGCTATCAAAAAAAGGAAAAAAAGGACTTCAATATTTGAGCTTCTATTATAACTTAAGCAAACGGAGAAAAAAAAACTATATAGCACTTTAATATAGCTCAACGTACTACTCGAGTTAACAAGCAAGAACGGTTTTCTCTAAACTTAAAATTTTGTTTTAAGTTGTTTTGAAGATCAAGTAAGAAATACAATTATAGTATAGAACTTACCAGGAAGACAAACTAGGTAAAATAACACATTCAATTAGCAATACAGGTTTCTGTGTCATTTGCACGGCAATCAGAAATATACACTGAGTCCAAGAACGCCATGTAGTTGCTAAATAAACCGCGATGGACAGATGTTTTACTAGTTAGGACAAGATGTACCGCGAAGTGCGGGATATATATGAATCTGCGTACTTTTTTAAATATTGATGGATATAGGGATGCACTCTGTAAAATCAGAAACGAAATGTATAGCGACTATAGGTACAGTCACTCTCTTGCACGCACATCGGCAGTTCGAACAGCAGCTAATTAAATTCCCTTTGTACTGCAGACTCCTGCTTGCTAATAACAAGGACACTAGCCCTGCGGTCCCGATGGGGACTGCATTAGGTTGGGCAATTATTGGATTAGGATTAGAGTTCTTTTGAGAAATAAACGTACAATTTAGTGAAATACCTGTCACATGTGTTTGTTCTCATTTGGTATGACAATAGGCTATTGGAGAGTTGGAGTCATTTTACTCACGACCAGAATCTTAGGATTACAAGGATTGCATAAAGGAGCGCTCTACTGACTGAGCTAAATCCAGGCCAGACGGTGGAGTTTTACTGCGTGAATCAAGTGTACAAGTCACACTCGTACGAAGGACATAAAAAGTCAATTGTATACTTGCGCGTGCTGAAAGTGAGAAATCCAACGAATTAACTCTAGAAAGAAACTTGAGATTATTTTGGAAACAAAGAAAATTTTTTTGACGCCTGCGAGATTTTTAGCGGGCTGTCATGCTAAGAAGAGGGTCCTCAATAGGTTTTTCGGGATACGTGATTTCCCTCATTTGAAGCTCGGGATTCGGGACTATAACGCAAAATCAGAGCGAGATTTGGGATTGAAAGTATGCGCGGGAGGTGGGATGCGAAAAATAACCCTCGGGATTACGGAATTGCATGAAGTTTTGGGTCGGGATTACGGGAGTGAAAAACTCTATTGGGGACTCTCTGAGAATGAAAGCCTGCTTCCTCCGGGTCTCCATTACAGATCCCCCGTCGCTAGCCGTTTTGGAAAACTTCATCTTAACTCACATCTTTCTTACCCAATGCTTCCCAATACTCCTGCCATATAAAAACACCGAGCTAATTCACACAGCTGTTATACAGCTGAATTTTAGTCGATTTGCTGTGGTATACTAACACCCCTCTGGCCTATCACAGCCTTACCTTATTGAGATCTCCTCGATTTCAAAGCCATCTTCATTGCTAATAACGCTGCTCAAATAAATAAAAAAATAAACGTCATCAATGAATTCCAGTTTCGCCGGATATCTGGGGTGAGAGCAATGCCTTGTCGCCCCATGTGAGGGAATCCAAGACAATCCTGGATTCTGAATTCCACGTCGTGGATCCCCGATTCCAATCGTTAGTGGCATTCCGGATATCCTTGAGCTACATTCCGGATTCCAAAGCCCAATATCCAAATTCCACAAGCAAAATTTCCAGGATTCCAGATACCATTAGCAAAGATATTTCAGGGATTCCGGATTTGGATTCTCTTGCATAGCCCGAGCCTTGGGCTCTTGGCAAATCCGATAACTGTCCCCCCGGGGGGGGGGGGGTTGTTGCGTACTCCTGGGAATCCTTGGTGGGGGTGTGCCGCCCAGTTCTTCAGATCCTGACCCTATTTCAGACCAAAAAATGTAATTTTTTATACCCGTTTTCAGACCTGGCCTTTAGGCAGAAATTATGTTATAACTACATAGATTAGAGTGGAAACAAAAAAAATTATTCAAATCCACTCCGTAGTTCCCTCGAAAACCATACCCGATCCCTGAACAAAATGGGCAAAGCGTATACCCGTCTTCAGACAAAAACGACGCAAAAACCTTACCCGAAGGGTTGCAGAAACCTATATAGCTTATATAAGGAAGTATCCCTCCCCCGGGTTACTGTCTTTTTCATGTTAAAGATGAGCACGATTACTCGAGAGTATAGACAACTTATCGTCACTTTAAGATGAGTAAAGAAGGTCCAACTGTATATAGAACTCCTATGTTGACTTGTTTCTCTCAGAGACAGAGGATTCAATCATTCAACACAGTCTTGCTCCTCTTGCGCATTGCGAGGAATGATTTTGGTAAATTTGGTTTGCAGTAAGACGCGGCAGACACTTACAGATTATCTTACATTTGCAGATAAAAATGCCATACCTCTCACAGTGAGTGGAAATTCTAGTCATGTCTCTGTGTTGTAGAGCCGAGCTGGTTTTCTAATGCAACAGCATTGACAATCTGTAATGTAAATCCACAAAGTGGACCAGGATGTCATATGCTGAATTCATTGCATTGTTTGGTTTATTCTGGGAAGGACAAGAATCAAGGCAGTCGACTCGTCAAGGCGAACAAGAGACCCTTGATAAAAGCTATCAATACAAATTTAATGGTTTGAAAAGGTGTTTGTTAAAGGAAAGGAAACGGTAAAGAAAATCCATTATATGCTTTGTCATACGTTTCATACATGAGTCTTCGGCTTGGATGATCCGCGCAACCCCATCCCACTTATTGACATGAATAAATTGGTTGATTGATTTCTTGAAAACCTTTTGGGAAAGAAATTTATAATAGTAAAGTGTAATTTTTTTGATCGCCCTCGGACTGGGGATAATCAGTTCTATGAGGCGCATCAGGTAAAATAAATTGAATGTAATGAGTGACATTGATCAATAGTAAACCGATGACTACATCTGTTAACAAAGGCGAAAGAAGACCGCGGTTTCGAGAGACAGGAATGAGCCATGATTGCCAAGTGAAGCCCGACACTCAAAAAGAATACTTCCGGGTGATCATTCTGTTCCCTGGAGGGCAAATAAGTGTGAGGGGGAGCAACAGACCAAACATAAAAAGGAGCCTAGGTGTGTTCATAATAGTTTTAAGGTTGTTACATTTTTAGGCCTCTACAATCATATGTGAATAGTTATGTCAATTCTTCAAAGACTGTTTCCCCCCTTTTCTGCGACCTTAACTTTAGTCCAAAAATAGTTATATCCATTTTAGGAAAATTAGTGCTTTACTTCTCCCTTTACTGTCAACGCAACAGAAATAATGACTTTTAGCGAACACAATGGAAATATTATTTTCAAGAAATTAAAGAAGTATTGATTTAGTTAAAGCAAGATGTCGGGAGAGCAACACGTCCCGCCTGTCCTCTTCGCAATTTTTGCTGCAGCTATGCTTCTTGCTCAAGGAATTCAAGGTACACCTAATACTCTAAACAACACATTTCATAAAGTGCTGATAGTATTTGGCGTTTTCCAACACTGAAATTGTATGTTTCATTGTGAGGAAGAAAGAAAGATATCGGGTGGGGCACACACGGAAGAAAATACTTCAAAGGATCTTACGCTCCCTGTTTTGTTTTTCTTTTACAGCCGCCAGTTTTAAATCTGGAAAAAAATAAATAATATCACTGCCAAGAGCTCAGGGTTATTTCCTTGCGAGAAATCACCTTCGAGGAACCATTCTCTGGCGGGAAGCAAGTGAAAGTGTTTGTTTCACCTGGTAACTCAACTAATGGTGCTGCTGTTTGGGTGGAATCAGAAGATCAAAGACAATTTCGCCCTTGCATCTCCGAGTACATCGATGGCTCGAATACAAGCCCCCCCCCGCCCCCGGCGGGGTGGGGGGGGGCGCTTATATTCGGAGGGGCGATGTAACGGAGGGTTTTTTGGGTTTCGATTTTGGGGGCCTTATATGTGGAGGGGCTTATTTTTGGAATTTTACGGTACCTAGGCAATAAAATTTATGACTAAATCTATAAAACTGAATTTATATAGTGAATTTAATCTCACAATCATAGACCCCTGTAAAATCCTTCGGGAAACCATGTTTCTAAACCATGTTTCTCTTCTCGCATGTGATAGTCTTTCTCATGATATGATTTGGCTCAGCCAATTGAATCCAAGCTGTCATTCAGTGTCATCAAGCGCTTAGAGCTGATTGCATGAGCTGGGCTGGCTAGCTTGAGGTGACGTTTAACCCGGTGCCTTTTCGATCCCGGGATCCCAGTTAACCGGGCTGGCTTGATTGGTATGTAACCACAAAGTTTATTTTTGTTTCGTTTAATGTAACGAGCTGTGCCCCTAACAGTTTGTGCGCATAGTTAATGCCGTTAGACCTGCTGTTCTTAGAACTAAAGTTTAGTTCTGTTTTTTCTACTGCTGTACCAGTTAGTGGTTTGGTCCCGGTCCTACAGAGAAGTGTCGGCTTTTCCCCGCATTTGAGTCTAGTTTCTCCTGTTTTATCGACAGTCACCGTCTTCCCGTTGAGCCTAAAATTCGTTTCAGAGTGGAAAGAGCTTCGGTCACATTCAAGTCACATGACCCATCACTGTACTAAAAGTTTTCTTAACCTAAACGATGATCTTAGAGCGGTACTGAACAGTACCATTTTTAAAATTAATCTTGTTCAATAGTTTCGGAGCACACAAAGCCTAATCAAATATTTTAACTGAAGAGTAAATATATCTTAACGTAACGAAACCTTCAAAGAGAGAGGAGAGAGGCGGCGAGGGGTATTTTTGTTAGTCCGGCAACCCTGAAATCCACGATGTAATATAAAAACAGTAAAAATAGTTTTCCTATATAAAATTATGATATCTACAACCATTGAAGGCAAAAGATGGAATACAATAGAAATATGAACGGAAATGGCTTAGAGTTAAATAAAAACTTACAAAATCTATTTTTAACCTAAAATCTTTTGTTACTGTTTCTA